GCAACTTCAATTCATTTGGTAATTTATTGTATAATTTTATACCGTTGCAAAGGATTGACTTTTGTCCACTTTTCTTTTTTTGACATACATTTTATGTAGTTGAATTGTATTGTGTATAAAAGTCAGTACTTTCACTTGAATATTTTCTTTTACAGATAGCCAGTCTAATCTAAACATGTCTTTATTATGTGTGAACCAGTCACATTTCAAGATAGTTCTCATAGCTTTGTTTTGTAGCTTCTGTAGATTTTTATATCATTTATACTTGCATTTAAGAATAATGAGGCACAATATTCAAAATGAGGCGCAATAACTGTATTAAAAACTAATGTTTTTGTCCATCTTGACAGATATTTAGCGACTCCTGTAAAAAACCCAGTAATCTTAGCTATTTTATTTGTAATAAATTTAATGTGTTCAGAAAAGTTCAAATTATTGTCAATTTTAATATCCAGGTATTTGACAAATTCACTAAATTTAACTCTTTCATTTTCCAAAATGATATATACGTTAGGATATTTTACAGTGATACTCCAGTATTTCACTTTACAGCTTCAGCATACCCATCGATAATCAGCATACCCATCGACTTACTTGCATTCAGTTTCAGTCCATTTCCACTAAACCAAGTAGCAACTACTTCAAAGTTTGAATTTAATTTTATCATAAATTCTTCGTAATTATTACCTTCAAATGCAAACTAATGTGCCATCTGCAAAGAGGTTGATGTTTACATATCTGGTACAACTGTTAATATCATTCATGTATATTATAAATAACAGGGGTCCTAGCACTGACCCCTGAGGCACACCTACATCGCAGGGTAGTTTCGATGATAACTGATTGCCAATTCTTACTCTTTGAATCCTACCTGTTAAATAATTTTAAATCCATTGTAGTACAACGCCTCCCACTTTATAACACTTTAATTTTTCAAACAATATTTCCTTATTGATAGTTTCAAATGCTCTCTTTAAATCTAACATAACTGTGATGACGAATATGTCATCATCAATTGCTGCCCTCCATTTTAAAATAAGTATTATTTATAATTTATAATAAAACTGCTGTTTCAGTGGAGTGATTTTTTTCTAAAACCAAATTGATTTTCATTAAAAAGTTTATTTTCTTCAAAATAAGTAGATAACTGTATGTGTGCACATAGTTCAAGTATTTTTTCATACACTGCTTAATTATTTAATGGTCTCATAACTTGTGGTAACTTGGGAGATATCACTTTCGGTATGGGAATTATAGTCGATCTTTTCCAAGTTTTAGGTACAAAACCTGTTCTTAAAGATAAATTAATTATTTTCAGCAAATTTCAACTAATGACTGGGTAGACTGTTTTACTATCCCCTTTCACCATGTTCCTTACTGAGAAAATTGAAAACCATCTTGGTTTTTAATTTTCTCAGTAAGGAAGTTTTTAAATTTCTGCACTTTTTGTATTTTCCAAATTGTATTTGACACATTGTATTATAAATACTTTCTTTTTTCTTATTTAATAATTTTTTTCCATTCATAGTTTACTTGTTTTGATATGTGCATTATACATGGATTTTTTAACCAGTTAGAGTATTGTGTTCTATTGCTTAGTATTTTTTTTTTGTTTCTCATGAATATTTTTAATGATTTCCTCATGAGTATTTTTAATCACCATATTTGCCATTTTGTTAACATTTAATTTCTTCATGTCTTTATTGCTCATTTCAATCTCATCATAATTTTCTCTGTAAGTTCATTATAATTTATTTTGTCATAGAGTTTAATAGTTTTTTATTTTACTAACGTCATATTTCTTATCTTTAATATCAAATTTATATTTGGTACTTACTATGTCATGATCTGACAATTTTACTTTTGTCACTTTCTATATTTAGATTTAGTCTACAAATAACTTGATCAGGTGCTTGGAAATAATGTGTACAAAAATACAGGTGCTTGTAATTCAGTAATTCTTGTTGGTACATTAGAGTTGTTTTTGATCTTTAGATTAAGGTTCTTGTTAACTTTCTTCCATTTTTTTTGAAAAGTTATTTTCTTTTGAAATATCAATGTTGGAATCTCCCATAGTAATAACTTTTTTATATTTAATGCTTAAATTACTAAGAACTTAATAATCTTAGTAATGATCTTAAAGATCTACTTAATGCTTAAATTATAAGATCCATAGAAGTCAATAAATTTGTTTATCAAGTTTTGATGAGGAGAGCTATATACACATATCACACAAATAGACTTATTAACATATCTCATTATTGTTTTTTTATAACCACTATTTTCCGTCTGCGAAAACTGTTTTAAATTCAATATTTTTATATCTTCTCTAACATATTGTTTGCATCGTCCTGTATGAACACTTGATGATAATACACTTCTATTGTTATATTCATTTATTTTTATTTCTTTTTCATAGTAATCTTTTGTTAAGTGTGTTTCAATTACACCAAATATTTCAGGTTTAAAATCCATAACAAACTGCTTCACCTTTGTTATTTTGTTGATTAAACCATTTATAATAACTAGAAAACATTTAAATGTTCTATTAGTTTTTGGTTGCTATCTGATTTGTTTTTCAATCCTTTCTTTCATTGCTTTATACATAGGACACTTAAAGTCATTTGCATAATGATTAAATTGAATCTAAGGATCATTGGCAATTTTCTCTGTAGCAGTGGATGCAATATTAAAGTGTCCCGTTTGGGCGATCCTTAGATTCATGTTAATTAGCACAATATTGGCATATATTGGCTATATTTGAACAATATTTGGCTATATGACCATATTCTTGGTATTTATAACAACGTACTACATTTATATGTTAACTTAAAGTTACAATTTGGTAGTTTAGATGTAGTTTTTTTAGTCTTTTCTTATAAATATATTCATAAGAGTGTTTATAAACATCAAAACTAATCACTTCATATGTACCATTTCTAATTATCTTTCTCTTGACTAATCTTGCTTTCATATCTGTTACATTTATCAGAATATTATTTTCTTCAACGATTTCACGATTTCATCAAGTCTTCATTATTATATGTTAACGGTGATTGTTTAATATTTACTTTAAAATTGTTTAAAATTTACTGTAATCTTACAGTGACAAAGCCAGAGTTTGTTTGGGGAACATTTTTTTTCCGGCAACATTGGGGGGGGGGGGTGTGTGTGATATTTTTGAGATCTCCCCTCCTCCTCCACTATTTAAAACTGGTGCCAAAAGAATGATTTTTAATCAACATTTTTTTAATCATTATTTTAATCATTTTTATCCAAAGATAATTAGAGTTTTTATCTAAAGATAAAGAGAATTTAAAGGCATTTCTTTGAATACATGAATTTACCGGTGGATGTAACCATGTTACCTGAGTTACAAGAAGAAAACTATTTTACTTAAGAATTTAATAAATGCTTTTGTTGCAATTACCATGCTATTTGTAAATAATTTTAAACCTTTAATAACTATATTTTAATAAATTTAATTTTAGCGATTGAAGTTTTAATCTTAATATAATAAAGTTTTATATCTTTTGAAAAAACAAATTTTTTATACATTCCATTGTTATAAAATTTTGTAACAAGGTGTTAAAATTAAGTTTTGTATTGATATTCATTTTTTTTATATTAACATTTAGTTAGTAATTGAAGGACAGTTTCATCACATAATTATGTGAAAAAAGCGATTGCTTTTGAATTCATTTTATTGGGCACACATACCTTTACAGCAGTGCTAAAACAGGTCTGGGCTTGTCCCTGTCTTATTTGTCTTATTTTGTCCCTGTCTTATTTGTCCCTGTCTTATTTAGTTACTTGTTTATTTATATCCTAGTCATGGATTACAGCTTTATCACCAATTTTATTTTGTATGTGTTCAGTAAATTATTTTGTAACCTCATTGCACATCATCACTTTAGCTTATTTTAACTCATTATTTTTGAAGTCCTCAGTAACAAGTTTTCTTGTGTCAATTGTATTGTTTGGTTCAATCAAACTTAAAACAAAGCTATTTATTGTTTTCTTTTCTTAATGATTGTTTATGGTTTCAAGATTATTATTTTTTGAATAAATTGTGTTATGTTGTTTTGTTGTTGTGCTCCCTCTTCAGTGTTTTGTTTTCGATGATGAAAGTTTGTTGTTGTTCATTATTTGTCTCAGAGTTTTTTACTTTGTTAATAGTAATATCCTTATTTATGTCAATAATTTTGATATGGGAGATTCCATGTGAAAACATCCAATTTTTTTTGAAAATGCAACCATAAGTCTCAGATTTTGCTGATTTTTAAACCACTTAAAGATTTTAGTAAATTATGAACATCCTGAAAATTTTATCGTCTAATTTCAATCGGTTCCTAAGATATAGCTATTTTAAGTTTGCCTCCAACCAACAAAAATCTGCCATTTTTAAAAATGGTTTTGGTCCTAGTTTCTGTTATATGTGTGTTGGAAAGCTGAAAATTTGTACATTTACATATTTTGGGCCAACGAATCCAATGAAACAACTTAAAATATTTCAAAACAAGCATAACACCTAAAATTTGAACATTTACCACAATTTTACTGGGGTGAGTCCAATCACAAAAATGCCGATGTAGCTCGATTTTTTTTTTTTTTTTTTTAAAGTTGTCCTGAATAGTTAAGCTATAGTTACTACAAAGAATTGGAGAGTGGTCTTTTCTAAAACAGAAATAAAAATATGGTCAAATCTACTTAAATTTATTGCTTAAAAAACAGGTATTATGACAAATTAAACAAGAAAAAAAATGTGGTAATTTGACAGTTTTGCAACTGAAACAGTTTAGGCTACATCAAACTGTTCTTTTAGTTGTTGTTGACTAGCTGTTTCTGTTTTCTTTGTAATTTTTTAGAATCTGATCTTGAAAAAGTTTAGTTTCAAGGGGGAGAATTATATAAATGCAGATGTAGGGGAGGTAGGGGAGCATTGGGCAGTTGGGAGGTTTGGGCACCCCCTCATTTCTCACCATCTTTTCTAGATATATTTTGTTTTTTACCATAGCATTATAGTTTTATAATTGGCAACACTTTTCATCAAAAGTGTCAGCTGTCGTTTCACTTGGTTGTCAAGTTACATGCGCTTAACAGTTTGTTGCGTTCAAAAGTAAATATTTTGTTTATGATTTGAAGAAAGATAACAAAGAAATCTGCAAGAAATTGTAAGTATCTGTGTTAACTTCTTCTATTGTGTTTAATGAACATTATATTTACCTGACAATTAGGATTCAACATTTGATAAAAATAAACTTATTCAAATCTGTTTAAAAAGTGAGGTTATGGGGAGCATTAGGCACGCAGGTAGGAGGGAGGTTTGGGCATGCCCAATGCTCCCTCTTTTTTTAGTGTGTTTTTTAGTCATATGTTTGTGTTTTTTTGCTATGACTATTGGATTGAATGGTTAATCATTTCTTTTCAGGACAATGCTGTTTTTATTTAAAAAGAAAAATAAACGATGTGTAATCCCTAAAGATGTTATTTTGCGTGCATTGGAAGAGGTTTCTAAAGGAGGAAAAATTAAAACTACTGCGATTAAATTTGATATACCCAGGTCTAACCTTCAAAGATACATAAAACATGGTGGCGCTGTGAAAAATACTTCTTGTAAATATATATCATCCCAAATATTCACAAAAGATGAAGAAGAAAAAGTTTCAGAATATTTTATAACATTGTTTAAACTTAACCATGTCAAAACTGAAAGCACGCGAATTAGTATACGAATATGCCACTGCCATTAATAAAAAAATACCAGACAACTGGACAGAGAAAAAACTTGCATCGAAAGATTGGCCAAGGGGATTTTTTAAAAGACAACCTCAGCTTTCGATAAGGACCCCAGAAGCTACTAGTCTCTCATGTGCCACAAGTTTCAATAAGAAAAATGTTGGAGACTTTTTTGTAAATCTTAAAACTGTATATGAACGACATCGTTTTGGCCCTGAGTCTATTTACAATATAGACGAAACTGGATTATCAACAGTACAACGAACCCAGAAAGTGATTGCTCTCAGAGGCACTAAGCAAGTTGGACAAGTAACGTCAGCTGAAAGAGGGACACTTGTAACTGTTTGCTGCGGCCTTAATGCATTGGGTAACTCAATACCACCCTTTTTCATATTCCCACGAGTTATTTTCAAAACAGATATGTTAAATGATGCACCTGTTGGTTCAGATGGAGCAGCACATCCTTCAGGGTGGATGACAGCATCAAGGTTTTTAAAATATATACACCATTTTAAAAAATACGCAAAACCAACGCCTTCATCACCAGTTCTATTGCTGCTGGACAACCACGAGAGCCATATTTCTGTACCAGTTTTCGATTTTTGTATAGAATCAGGCATTGTTTTAATAACTTTCCCACCGCACTGCAGCCATAAACTGCAACCCCTAGACCTGACTGTCTATGGACCACTCAAAACTTATTATAACACTGCTGTAACAGATTGGATGGTGAGCAATCCTGGCAAAACGGTAACAATTTATGAAGTCCTAAAATTAGCAGCAAAGGCCATCCCACTTGCATTCAAGTTGCAAAATATTCAAACGGGATTTGAAAAATCTGACATTTGGCCATTCAATTCAAACATTTTCTCTGATGAAGATTTCGTTTGTTCTTCTATAACTGATCGCTACTTGCCGGGAGAGAATAATGTTGCTACAGAAAAATCGATTTCAGACCAACCTATCATGGAACAGCCTTCAACAGAAGAAAATCTGAGACTAGAAGATCGTACTAGTTCAAATGTGGAAGTCACTGGGCCATCTCAACTTGAATCTCTATCTAAAAGCCAGACTAGTGGCACTGTCAATGTAACACCTGATTTAGTAAGACCATATCCGAAAGCCGGCCCCAGGAAATTGGGTGGTATGAAACGGAAGAAAGGAAAAACTAGAATATTGACAGACACACCCGAGAAAAGACTTATAGAAAATGAAGAAAAGAAAAAAACAAAGAAAAAATTAGATCAAAGAGCTCAACAAAAATCGAAAATGCTCTAAAAATGAGAAAAACAGGAAGATTAGTAGTGATGATGAAATAAAAAATGTTTCCGATTCTGACAAAGCTTTTGTTGAAATCGATTCATCAAAAGAAGATTTTGATGTAGACGATGTAATTGTTCTGGATAGAAATTTCCAGGTTAATAACTTTGTGTTGGTTAAATTTGACACCAAAAAAACTGTTTATCATTATGTTGGAATTGTCGAAGAGGTTAATCACTCCATGGCAACTGTCAAATTCTTGAGAGCGAGTAAGATAAGAAATACGTTTATGTTTCCTGACATCGAGGATGTAGCCAGTGTCCCCCTGGAGGATATAAAGACAAAATTGCCTACACCATCAACATGGATAAAACGTGGCAGCTTAAAATATGAATTTGACAAGCCTCTTTGGGTCATACCAAATTTAAGATAAGTCTTATTAGGTCCAACATTGTGGAGTATTGATTCCAAGTAACATAGTTTAATCTTTTGTAAAGTCTATGATATGAAAAAATGTTTGTGTTACAATTTTTTATAGCAATGCTATATAACACTTAAGCATATGAGTATAGTAAAACAATATCGTTCATATTAAATACAGTGCCCAAACCTCCCCATAGGGGTGCCCAAACCTCCCAACCACGGGGAGGTTTGGGCACTTTGGACACGTGTTAGAAAACCTTTGGTAACTTTGCAACTAATTATAATACTAAAACTCTTCTTAGCAATAATTAATGCCAAATATGTGTGCTAGATATATTTGAAATAAAATTTTGATTATGATAAAAAATAACAGATTTATTAGCGTTTATGTAAAAAAGTGCCCAATGCTCCCCTACCTCCCCTATATTGCAAATTTAGTTTTTTTTTCAGAAGTTGTATTAAATAGTTTAGTTAGTGTTATTACAAAGAATCAGATTGCGGTCTTAAATCAGAAATAAAAACATCTTCAAATATACTTAAATTTATTACTTATAAAACATTAGTTTCATATTTTGTCAAACTTCATTTAATAAACTTAAAAGACAAAGACTCCAAAACAAATAGAGCACTTGTAAAGAAGTTCAAGAAACAAAAGTAATATACAAAATTTAAAAATTAAAAACTCAAAAAAATAAAAATTTATCAGTTATTGTGTTATAATCATTCACATCAATGTTATATGTTCGCCCTGATTTTGTTGTTGGGACTTTGATTACTGCAATCAAACTCGACAATGGTACCCAACAGATATCATCTCTCTGTGGCCAAATAAAGTTTTGAGAAGGGCCATGAGGGTGCATAAACTTAATTTGAATATCATTTATAATAATATCTATCTCTGTAACCATGCCTATCCACCAAAAGGAATCGTACTTGCATGCAACAAAATCATTTAGATTTGGTACAATAACAACATCAGACATTACTGCTTTTGACAGTATAAATCTGTCAACACATTGATGTTCGCTTGTTCTTTTAAAACTAATTTCAAATTTTGAAATAGGTATGTAATGATAATAACTTCTGGTACCTGGAACAGTTTTTCCTGTTTCAAATTGCTCCTTTAGTTGTTGTCTCCTTGCATTAACTGTTTCTTTGGAAATTTTATAAAATATGATTGTGTTTATATTGGTGATGCAAAATTCAAGCATATCATCAACTGTTAATATTTGGTTTTCCAATGCCCTTTGCAAACTTGCTCTTGCTGTTATTCTTTCAACGATACCACCAATGCCATCAGTGGATTTTCCATGACTGGTTGCAAAAAATACCCATTTAGCTGTAATCTCAAAATCTTCCTTATGGTGGCATAGATTTATAAAGTTTTTATAGTTTTTATATTGAGCAGAACATCCATCAAAAAAATAATAAATTTTATTGATACCAACTAAATATTCCTTAATGTACTCTACAATTTTCTTTTGAAATTCATACACAAAGCATGTATCATGATCATTGTCATCACTTAAAAAACAGAATGACTTATGCTGAATATTTGTTTTAGAAAATTCCTTAAAATATATAACAACAGGATGAAGTGTACATTGTTGTTTATTCCAATGATAACTTTGTATTTCATCCTGTATAACAAATTGATAGTTCTCTGCAAAATCTGCCTGTATAATACATTCATTGTAACCTAAATTATTTTTTAGTTCTTTCAAATAGCGAGTTTGGCATTTAGCAATATATGAATGTGAAGTTAGATGATTAATGTGAGAGACAACTAGTTCTTTATATTCAAATAAGTTAACTGATTGAGTAATTAATTGAGATCTATCAGTACGTTGCCATTGGTTGAATTGAATTTCTTCTTCCTCAATCTCAATTAATTCCTCATCTAAAAATGCCTTTAAGTTATCATAACCTGGACATTTGGCACATCTATGAACCATGTATTCATTATTGCTTGTATCACATACTAATTTTGACATTAAATCTTTGTATGTAACATTCCATTGGACAGCATTTACAAGCAATATTGAGTTTTGATGGTAAATACAAACACATACACAGTGTGTACCATTTGGTCCCACACTAATACACCATTTTGGACGCAAACTACAAAACTTTGAAAATCCTATTTTATAATTAGGGTATTTACTTTTAAAATCAATATAAAGCTCATGAAGGTTGCACAATAATAATCTTTTTTGTTGTGGAGGACCACTTTTAACTTTAACACAATCTTTTTTACCAGGCATAATTCTAGAATGTTCATCTTGTTGAAAAAAATCTTGAACCAAAGCTGTAAGAAAGTCAGGTATTTTTTGGCCTATTTTCTTATCAGGTATAGCAAGAATTCCATTTTCACTTTTAAGTTTCCTAGCACGTCGTATAAGATGTTCAGAAACTTCAAAATATTCTGAAGCGTATTTTCTAGACCAAGATTCAGGTGTAAGTGTTAATATTTGAATTTTTTTTTTAAATGGTTCAACTTTAATTTTTTCTTTCATTAAAGTTGTCAAATGATCAAGATCATTCGCTTTTTTTTTTATCCATAGATTGACTGGAAAAAGTCGAGGCTACACTTAAGTTATTTATATTTACTCCATAAGCACTTGCTACACCTTCTCCCATTTTTGTGTAGGCTTTAACTAATTTTCTTTTTGCTGTTACAACTCATTGATGCTTTGCGACACCATGAACTTTAATTGGTGAGACTCCAATTGATATTAAAGAGTTGTCTAACTGTTGTTTATTACAAGATTTATCTTTAACAAGTAATACATCGCCATCAATTTCACTATCGATTTCATTATCAGAAACTTCATCGCGATTTGACAAAAACTGAATACATGAGCGACAAAATTTCCATCCTGGTTTACAGTTAAGATTTTTGGATTTAAGGTTATGAGCCATTTCAAGAGATATGGTTGTTTGACCTAAAATAAAATCATTAATTTTAAATAAACATACCCTGCTTCTAAATTTATATATATATATATATATATATATATATATATATATATATATATATATATATATATATATATATATATATATATATATATATATATATATATGTATATGTATATATATATATATATAATATTATATTAATTTATATAATATATATATTATATTATAGTATATTAATTTATATAATATATATATAAGTTAATATATAATAAATAATTATATATATATGCGGTTATATATATATATATATATATATATATAATTATTTATTATATAGTTAATATATATTAAATAATTATATATATATATATATATATATATATATATATATATATATATATATATATATATATATAATATTATATTAATTTATATAATATATATATATTATATTATAATATATTAATTTATATAATATATATAAGTTAATATATAATGAATAATTATATATATATGCGAGTTCAATTCCCACCACGTCCCTTGTAGTACCGCACTCAACTTGTTTCTCCGTACAGCGGCCTTATTTGTCAAGGTTCGTGTTTTGGAGTTATAGAGTCAAGAGAGGTTTATAACCATAAATAAGTAGCCTCCTCGTCTTTAGTGGCCTTCTCGGCCTTGAGGAGGTGAATTATCAAAGAATATGTATATATATATATATATATATATATATATATATATATATATATATATAATATATATATATATATATATATATATATATATTACCTTTAACCTTCTTTTTGTGTCTTTTTAAAACATCGCAACACTTATCATTCTTTAGTAGAAATATCGGTCCAAAAACCTGCTCATGATGATAACAAATAGACTTTATCTCTTCGTATGATGTAGTCTCAAGCAAACCAGACCTCCAAATATAAGTATCTTGAAAGTCCTTTTCTAGATTACAAAAATCTTTTAATCCTTGTTTTCGAACAAAACATATTTTGTGACATTCATCTTTTAAAACTTTTCCAAACCCACTAGATTTCATTTTATCAATATACTATTATTATTTCTAAAAAAGATGCAAGAAAAATCTATGATTCATTCAATGTCTTCATGGGGTCAAGGTTGTTTAGGATTAGAAATTTGAACTTAATTAGTAAGCATTCTAACTTTAATTTTACAACCTTATAAACATTTTTAAATCATAAAACTACTAAAAAAAGAGAAACAGCAATTCAATAACATCTAAAAGAACATTACGATATAGCCAAAACTGTTTCAGCTTCAGAACTGTTAAATTATCACATCTTTTTGTATAGTTTAATTTATCAAAATACATGTTTTTTAAGCAATAAATTTAAGTAGATTTGACCATATTTTTATTTCTGTTTTAGAAAAGACCACTCTCCAATTCTTTGTAGTAACTATAGCTTAACTATTCAGGACAACTTTAAAAAAAAAAAAAAAAAAAAATCGAGCTACATCGGCATTTTTGTGATCGGACTCGCCCCAGTAAAATTGTGGTAAATGTTCAAATTTTAGGTGTTATGCTTGTTTTGAAATATTTTAAGTTGTTTCATTGGATTCGTTGGCCCAAAATATGTAAATGTACAAATTTTCAGCTTTCCAACACACATATAACAGAAACTAGGACCAAAACCATTTTTAAAATTGGCGAATTTTTGTTGGTTGGAGGCAAACTTAAAATAGCTATATCTTAGGAACCAATTAAAATTAGACGATAAAATTTTCAGGATGTTTATAATTTACTAAAATCTTTAAGTGGTTTAAAAATCAGCAAAATCTGAGACTTAGGGTTGCATGCCCTGGATGTTTTCACATGGAATCTCCCATATATGATTAATCAGATTCCATTTTCTCTTAAATAATGTTATTGCTTTATTGTAACTTAGTATTTTCAATAGATAATACTTTATTTAACTCATTCAATCTGTTATTTTCATTTACTAGGGCTACAGAGACCTCATTAATATTGTTTACTTTTGTTTTTTCTTAAAATATGTCTTTCAATTTTTTTCTGCAATTTGGACTAGCTCATATTAGTTCACTAATTTTTGCAGATACAATATTAAATGCTTCATTGTTTAATTCAATACATTTAGTATGAAACCATTCGTCACATATATCACAACAGATGTTTTTGATTTATTAAGTTTACACTCACAGTGGTTAGAAAACCATTTTTTTTCAATTTGTTTCTTCCTTTTTGTTTCAACCTTAGCAAATATGATTTGTTTAATTTTTTTAACAAAAAAGTTTGATTTTTTTAATCTATTTTTAAGTGTATATATATATATATATATATATATATATATATATATATATATATATATATATATATATATATATTATACAAAAAATTGTGATTTAACAGTTCCGAAGCTGAAACAGTTTTGGCTATATCGTAATGTTCTTTTAGATGTTGTTGAATTGCTGTTTCTCTGTTATTAATAATTATATCTTATATATTAGTAAAATAATTATCTCATATATTATATATATATATATATATATATATATATATATATATATATATATATATATATATATATATATATATATATATATATATATATACTTATAAAAAAAAATAATTATCTAAAATTAGTTTTTGAAATTTTATTTAATTTGTTTATTTATTATTCAATAATTTAATTCTAGATTAGTTTAAATGCTGCAAAGAAATATTAGATTACTTTTTCTGCTCATAAAAGTACTACTTGTATATACACGTGAATTTGATGATCAAGTTCAATATCAAATTTCTTGGAAAGAACCTTTTAAGCAAAAGGTATGTATGCAAGTTGTAAATTCTTTGTTTATGAGATAATTGTTTATTATTAAAAATATAGCCGTAATGAAATTATGATCAAAAGAAAACTACAAAAGAATAGATGTATTAAAGATCTTTCATTACCTTTTTATTGACAATTTTTTTCTAGTTTACTTTTTAAAATAGTTTGGTAATGATTTTAATTGTTTTTGTAATTGTATATTTACAAGTAACTTTATCAAATTCAACATATATAAACATGGTATAACAAGAATGTAGTTTTTAAAGGAAGGCATCAATAAATTTAAAGTTCCAAGATTTGGAAGGAGCCTATCTTACCATTTTTTGTACTGTTAATTTTTATTAAAAAATTTTTATTTGGTGGGCCTCCTTCCCTGCCCCCTTTACCAGACAACCCTAATTCATTCAACCAAAAAAATGTATACCACCATTTAACTTATGTTTGTCACTAATATTTGTTGTAATTTAATATTATTTTTATTTTTTATACTTTTTTTCACTTATTTTCATAATGATAAAAACATTTATAATAATGAGACACTCACCACCACATTGACCCATTTCCAAAATACACTTATAATATTTGTTTGTGAACTGGAATAAAGTAATAAAACTTTTTTATATGTAAAAATTACTAATTTAGAAAACAAAAAACTATTACGAAAAAAAATACATATTTTATGATGGTGAAAAAGGTGGTTTGGTTCCTCCTCCAGCCCCCAAACTATGCCCTGTGGTAAGATACCAATGAAAACTTGTAGACCAATCTTTTGGTACCAAGTCATAGGCATTTAGAAAAGAATTACAATGATAGGGTAGTTTAGTTTTCCAAAAGTTTATAAATTGGTCAGTTTTATTAAGAAATCCTTGTAATCAAATTTTGTCACTATAATGCTCATAACTTTTTGTTGAATCATCCAATTTTCATAAAATTTTTTAATTTTGTAATATTTTTAAAAATCTTTTTTCAATAATATATATTATAATTTTATATTTAAACAATTTAAAATTTTTACACATGTACCTCACATATATCACCTCCCCTCACGTATATCACATAAAAATATGTAAAAATTAGGATAATCAGAGATGTTGACCCACTAGCCATTGGTTAAAGTATAAAGATTTGATCCTATTTTAAAGAATTTTTTTTTTAACTATTTATTGAAAGTTTTATATAGTTTCTAACTAGAAATAGTCTAAATATTAAAAAATTGTTTTATTTAAAAATCATTAGTAATAAAATTATTTTTGATAAGAAATTATCTGTTAAACATTAAAAGCTTTTTTATAAATACTATTTATATTTAAAGCATCCTAGTGTTATTCCATATCAAATCACCTAAAGGCTCTCAGGGTACCATCTCAGATTTGCTTTAAACTTTGACCACACACAGATCTTATGAAAAAAATACAATCCAGAAAATTTCAGCTTTTTTTTTTATTTGCATTCCCAACAAGGCTGCAAGCAACCACTATTAAGTTGGGAGTTACTAGGAAAAAAAAGAACAGAGTTATAGAGCAAGGAAACGGTTGACAGAAGACTTGAAAAGTTGAAGGTTGTATGAGTCAGGAAAACATGAAGAGGGGAGAGAGTTCCAAAGGATCGAAGTGCAGGGAAAAAAACTAGATGAATAAAAGTTTTTAGAGCACGCAGGGACAGATACAGTAAACGAATGAGACTTAGCTGAATGACGAGTAAAACGAGAATGAATTTTAGCTGATGGAACTAGAGATGATAACTCCTTTGAGCAGTAACCATGATAGTATTTGTAGAAAAGAGAAAGAGATGCAACTTTACGACGATGGGAAAGAGGTTCAAGCTTAGCAGATAGTCCAGGTCCAACAACATTTACAATGCGTTTTTGGACCTTGTCAAGAAGAGAAAGTGAATCGTTAGAAGAACCAGCCCAAATATGACAACAGTATTCCATACAGGGGCGAATAAGAGATTTGTAGAGGTAGAGAATGGAATCAGAAGTAAGAAAATGGCGAACACAATAAAGAGAAGTAACCTTAGCAGAAGCTAATTTAGCAATCGATTGTATATATGGTTTCCATGAAAGGTCAGTAGTAAGCGATAATCCAAGAAGACGTAAAGAGGAAGACTCAGTAAGAGGATTGCCATTCATTAATATAGGAATGTTGACCATATTACGGTAGTTGTTTGCAGTAAGCAACTGGGTTTTTTTAGAGTTGAAATTCACAAGCCACTGTGAACCCCAATCTATTACTGAAGTGAGATCGGATTCAAGATCAGCTGCTTGTTTTAGGCGATCGAAAAGAGAAGATTTTTTGTCAAGACAGGAGTATAAAGTTGAGTCATCAGCAAAAAGAGCTACTTTAGATGAAAGATTGTCAGGAAGATTGTTTATGTAGATAAGAAACAAAACAGGGCCCAGGATGGAACCTTGGGGAAGCCCAGAAGTTACTGGAAATAAAGAAGAGTGTTGGCCTCCAAGGATGACTTTAATAAACCGGTTAGAAAGAAATGATTTGATAATCTCAAAAACTTTCCCAGAAACACCATATGAAGCAAGTTTATGGAGAAGACCAGCGTGCCAAACTTTGTCGAAAGCTTTAGATATGTCGAGAGCAATAGCCCTAGCCTCACCGCCTCCATCTAATGCACGATAAAATTACAGCATAAAGTTATAGCAGTTAGCATGTCGGCTGTTGAGCGAGAGGATCGAAAACCGTATTGATTGTCTGACAGTAGTTTATTTGACTCAAGATGAGATGTGAGGAATTTGTTGATCAAAGACTCAAAGATCTTGCTAATAACAGAAAGAAGACTGATTGGAAGATAATTAGAGGGGTCAGAATTTTCTCCAGAGTTTTTGAATATTGGAACCACAGATGTCATTTTCCAACAAGCAGGAAAACAAGACTCAGTCAAACACTTGTTAAGCTTGATTGACCAATTTGTTCAAAAGTTATGATTGAATTAAAAATTACCAAAATCCGAAAAATTTGTGTATCAGGAGCTTACAGCAGTTTTTTTCGATTTTTGACAAACCATAACTTTTTAAATAAAGATGGTGATCACTTTAACGTGTTACTCGAAAAGAGAAGACATATTATCTTATCAAATGGAACCCAACACTGACTTGATCGTGCATTGTTTGTCCATTTTAAATTTAATTTGTTTCTTTGCATAAACTTTACATTAACGTCTTGGTTTTCATTACAAATATCAACCACAAGCCCTACGTACCATTCTTCATTGTAAAAGCATGCAATATATTTACGGGGTTAAAAATTTGAAGGATTTTTTAAAATCAAATTAACATCATTTAACACATGAGTATCATAGACAGTATCACTAGAGATTCTTCGTAAAAACAATTTCTCTCCATCTGGTACAAAACACTGATAGCTTCTTGTTCCCGAAACTGTGCGCATCCCTTCATATTGTTTCTGAAGGTTAAAAGTTGTTTCATGGTTATTGATATCATCACTTAAAGGATAAAATATGTTAACACCTTTGATGTTTTTTTGAGCCCATGTAAACAGATCTTGTGGTGTGAGAATCTGATTTGTAATTGCTGCTCGTAGACTAGCTTTTGCTGCTTCTCTTTTTATAGTACCTCCTATACCATCACATGGACTTTTGCCATGTGACGTAGCAAAGAAGTGATGCTCAGCATTTATTTGGTGATCTACAATGTGATAAATTAAGTTTATTAGACATTTGTAGTTTTTATACTGTGACGCAGCACCATCACTGAAGTGTTTAACTTTATTCACTGTGTGTAGTTTGATTTTGACCATAGGGAGCAACTTTTTGAGAAAACAATGGACTGCTGATTGGTCATGACAAAGATGGTCAGAAATTAAACAATAGCATTCACATTTTTTTTTTTTTTTTTTTTAAACCTCTTTGCTTCCAACAAGGCTGCAAGCAAACACTAATTAGTGTTGGAAAATACTGGAAAGAAAAGATTGTAGAGCAAGATAACGATTGACAGAAAACTTAAAAGATTGCAAATTATATGAATCAGGAAAACAAGATGAAGGAAGCGAATTCCAAAGAACTGATGTTCGAGGGGAAAAACTAGAGGAATAAGAGTTTTTGGAGCACTTAGGAACAGTAACAGAAAAAGGATGAGACTTAATTGAATGACGAGTAACACGAGAATGAATTTTAGAAGATGCCCATTATAGTATTTGTAGAAAAGAGAAAGAGAAGCAACATTACGACGGTGTGACAGAGGTTGAAGGTTGGCTGCAAGAGCAGGTCCAACTATGTTTACAATGCGCTTTCGCACCTTGTCTAAAAGAGAAAGGGCATCATTAGAAGATCCACCCCAGATAAGGCAACAGTATTCCATGCAAAGCCGGATTTGAGATTTATAGAGATTTATAGAGAATAGAATCCAGAGTAAGAAAGTGACGAGCTCGATAAAGAGAAGCGACTTTAGCAGATGCTAATTTTGCAACGGATTTGATATATAATTTCCAGAAAAAGATCAGAAGTAAGAGTTAATCCTAGAAGATAAAGGGTAGGAGATTCATCGAGTACATTACCGTTCATAAATATAGGAAGGTCTAAATTATTGCGATAACGATTGGCTGAAAAAAATTGAGTTTTATCTGAATAAAAGTTCACCAGCCACTGTGAGCCCCATGCTGTAGCAGAAGTGAGATCCTTTTCAAGCTCAGATGACCCCTGCAAGCAATCAGAGGGAGTTGGCTTTTTATTGTGTCAAGAATAAATGGTAGTATCATCAGCGAATAATGCCTTAGATGTGAGAATATCTGGAAGATCGTTAATGTAAATTAGAAAGAGTATAGGGCCAAGGATTGAACCTTGAGGAACCCCTGAGGTTACAGAATAAGAAGAAGAGTGCTGTCCATCAAAGACAACTTTTATACTACGATTGGAAACGAAGAATTCAATAATGATTAAAGATGTTTCCAGATACACCGTAAGAAGAAAGCTTATGGAGAAGACCAGCATGCCAAACTTTATCAAACGCTTCATAAATGTCAAG